GTGTCGGTCTGCAGTAGAAGAGCTAGAATCGAGTCCAGGATCACCTTAGAGATCAACAAGATTTTCGGGGTCTAAGCTTCCGAGCGCCAAACCTTACTTCACTTGTATCTGACAAAGGGAGCTTCGAATCTCGAAAGCTTATACCCCCCCAAAAACCTTGTTGTTCTCTAAGGTGTTACTGGACTCAAATCCAGCTCTTCTTAAAATGTATACCTAAGGCAGAGGTGTCGAACTCATTTGTTACGAGGGCCGGATCTGACATAAATGTCACTTTGACAGGACAGGCCACGTGTGCCATAAAATCTAATGCCAGGTACTGGAGAGATATAAACTTTATAAAGGACACAGGCAAACCCAATGAACAATATAATTTTTTTTAACTCAAAATACAAACAGGCTTAAAACATTAACGCTTTTACAGTATTTCCTTAAAGTATCTCCCTGATGCCTGCCCTCCCGCTTCCACTGCCCATTACACATTAGCACTGGGACAATTTCCAGGGACATAATGAACAGCCTTTGTCATCTGGCAATAAAGGCAATGACCAGTTGCTCGCGGGCTGCATAAGAGCCATAGACGGGCCAGTTCCGGCCCACAGGCCGTATGTTTGACACCCTCTGACCTAAGGTCTTTTGATATACACCTAAAGTGATAATCTGATTGATCAACAACTGTGTGAGAACACGGTTAACACACAGGTATGCTCATCTGTGACTCTCTTTGGAATGTACATTCGGCAGCAAATCCAGATTTCCTGCTGTGAGAAATAGTACTCTGAATTTTAGGTCGAGGAGGTGAAGACATGAAGACTAAAATAACTGATCCGGACGCTTTGTTTCCTTTTTCTTCTTTTAATAAAGAGCCAGCCATTGGGGAATAAGGTAGAAATGGAGATCGCGAGTATGTTAGAAAAGAACACATCTCTTTTGAAGTTCGGGTATCACTTCACTCAGCAAGGCCCCCGGCTTCGTGCCTCCAACGCCATGATGAACAACAACGACCTTGGTGAGTTAACAGATTGTTTGTGGCACATAGAAGCAAAGGTTCCTTTCCAGAAGCAGGGTGTGAATTCCTCCATCCAACCAAATGCTGAGATTGCTTATTGGCTATCAGGCCAGGTGAAAGAGGTTTTGATTTTTCCTGTGTTGTTTCCGGCTTCCGTAATACAAGGGAAGAAGGCTAAAATTTGAGAGGGTTTGGGAGATTTTATGTTTTAAAAAATTAGCAAGAGTTGGCATATCAGAAGGAGCGATGTGAATAAGTTAGAGACCGAAAGGGGGGGGGGTATGAGAGAATGAGAGATAACTGTAGAGGACACAACTGTTCTTTCTAGCTATTGGGTTGCTTCGAAACTGTTTCCCAAAATGTTTTGTGAGAATTTTAAGTTTCCCCCCCAATCCCAGTTTGGTGGCATTGTTTCCCATCATTGCTGCATCTATTCCAGTAAGGGAAAACACTGACCATTTGGGGTTTAGTTCTATTCTAGCTCCATCCCATGAATGCTGGAATGTCTGGGAGAGTAAAGAACGTCAGCAGTTATTATAGACGATCCATCCTAGGAGAGCAACTTTGCAAATGGCGGCCTGTCCTTAGCAATACCTATGCTATTCCGTTCCATTCCAGCAATACAGGGAGCAAAGCTGTCTGCTGTAAATGGTTCACAGTCTGCCGTCGATAAGAAGGGACAGTTGTCAGTGTGGCTGGGAACAAAACGCCATATAAACTTAGACTGTGTGGGATGAGTTGAAGGGTGGAAAGGAGTCCTCAGGGAGGAGGGAAGGCCTAACTAAACATTACATTTTTCCTGGGTGCAAAACCAAGGTGGGTGAGAACATCTCAGGCGTGGATTATTTGTGGAAGCTCCGACTCTGTGGAACCTCAGCAAGTGCACCAGGGGGGGTCGTTCCCTTTAAGAAATCAGGGAGAGTATCTTGGTTTTGCCAGGAATTTGGGGATCATTGGACCAGATCTTGTTGGATAAAAGTAACTGGTTGTTGTCTGTTGTAATAGCGCTAGATGCTAGTGCTGGACCCTTGGGAGTTGGTTTTAATTGGTTTAATCCTTTTAGCTTACTGCATGTTTACAGTGTAAGACTGGAATCTGCCATGACAGGCCCCGAATCACAGAAGAGCCATTCCCATTAATCAATTAAAATGAGTCACAATTTTTTGATGCCTTTATTTGCAGCAGACTGAGGGTCCATGGTCTGACCCACAGGGCACGGTGTACTGTGCTTCAGCCCTCACTGAAATAATAAATGGGAAGGCTTCCGGGGTATCAAACTGGGGTCTCTGGCAGTGGAGAAGAGTCGCCAACCATCTGCCACCCACTGGGGACAGGGCATGCCAACATTGCATCAATGTCACTTTCTGACTATATAACCATGTCATTGTGGTATTCCAGGAATTTCCCGAATGTCTCTGGTAAAAACCATAGAGATTTAGGAAATTCTTAGAACATCACTATGATGTCATATCTAGGTATGTGTCCACCATTCAAGGAGCTGCGGTGGCTCAAGTGGTTAAGACGCTGAACTGCAGGCTGTGGAAGGTCAGTAGTTCAGCAGTTCGAGAAACCGAGTGTGCCGCATGACGGAGTGAGCTCCCGTCTCTAGTTCCAGCTCCTGCCAACCTAGCAGTTCTAAAGCAAGAAATTGCAAGTAGATAAATAGGGACCACTTCAGTGGGAAGGTAACAGCGTTCCGTGCGCCTTGGTGTTTAGTCATGCCGGCCACATGACCACGGAAACGTCTTCGGACAGCGCTGGCTCTTCGGCTTTGAAACGGAGATGAGCACCGCACCCCTAGAGTCGGACTCGATTGGCTTTCGAGCAAGGGAACCTTTACCTTTTTATCCACCATTCTCCCCCCCTCCCCATTTCTGCTCCCCCTGTTCCGCTGAACAGAAACCCGGAGCCCAGCAAGTGGGGCTTCTCCTGCTATATTGGGAGTCATGGTACCCCTGTAGTAGAGCCCAGGCGTTTTACTGTCTGAACCATTGTGGCAGCTGACAAGCATGCTGGGCTGATCTTTGCCACACAGCAGCGCCACCACTGCGTATGGCAAGAGGGTGCACTGCAGCTTTCAGCCTCGCAAGAATAAGATGAAATGAGTCATATCCGACCTTCTAAAGCTGCCAACTAATTGATTTCAGTGGGGCTTGTTCCGGAGAATTTCCTGGGGCCATCAGATATTATGTGTCAAGGTCCAAAATATCTGGGGGGTCACCCCAGCATATCACCTGTTAGTGGCTTGGCCTTCTTGTTTGCAAGAGCTGTGCAGAAGGTATCTGACGTGGTTCTCGTTTGCAGCTCGTATCCAGCGATGTGGGCGGCCCTTGGCATAACACGTCGGCCCTGGAACTGGAAGATATCTAAGTATAGATCCCCATCCCCCCTCTTTGGCAATCACTTGTCTTCTTTTGGGCTGAACTAGCGGTGGCTTCCTACTTTTCCTACTTAGTTTATTACTCTCTTCCGGCTTCTGTTTTGGGCTTCACTGCAGGTGTCTTCCTTCTTTTTTTAAAAAAAAGCTTCAGTCCCCATGTTGGAAAAAAAGACCTCTCGTTTATATCTTCTTTGTGACCATTGACAACTCTTAAACCTTCTGCTTTCTCCTTTTTTCCCACCCTGTCTGCTGTTTTGAGTGACTGAACACAGAGACCATGTCAGGGTGGGGTGGGAGGGGGAAGAGATTCGCTGTATAGAAAACTTGGCATGTGCTTTCAAGTGGTAAAAAAGTTATAATTTCAGAGGGACTCATTCATGAGATTGGAGAGGCCCCTGTGTGTGTTTTAGAGAAATAAGAAATGGTTCAAATTAAATAAGGGCAGGCCTAGAAGTAGAGGTATAGTAGTTAGTGCCAGACTAGGAGCTAGAAAGCCCAAATTCAGAACCCTGCTCTGCCAGTGAAGCCTGTCGGGTTGTTGTGAGGACAGAATGGGACAATGTTGTAAGCAGGGGTCTTTTGGGGCCGGAGTGTGCCAGAGCACTGCTCTGGGAGCCCAGGAGCTGGCACAAATGGCGGTGGCAGCAAGCCCCGCATCCAGCTCCCTGCGCTGCGGCCCCGGGGAGGCCTGAGGATGCCCCCTGCCGCCTCCCCAGGCCAACCTCAGAGTGCTGTGGCCCAGGGGGGGCCAGAAGAGGCCCCCTACCACCTCCCGGGGTAAGTGAGGGATCCACAGGGGGTGGCGGAGGCTTGATTGGGGAGGTGGGGGGTGGGAGAGCCTCCCCCCATCTCTTTGCCCTCTTTCTTACCCTCCTTTTCTTTCTCTCCCGTCTCCCTTCCTTCTCTCTTTCCTCTCTTTTTCTTCTTTCCCTCCTTCTTCCCTTCTTTCTTTCCCTCTTTCCTTCCTTCGTTCCTTCTCTCTACTCTCTCTTTCCTTCCCTCTTTCCTCCTTCTGCGGCCCAACTCTAGTGAGAAGGGGTTTAAACTTTAAACCCCTTCTCTCTTCGCTTCCCCCCCCCAGGGAAGGGGAGGGGAGGCTTTTGAAGATGCCTCCCCCCTTTTGCTTCCCCTTCTGACATCACTTCCGGTGATGTCAGGGGGGCGTTGCATATGCTAATGAGCTGCTAATAGCCCAGTAGCTCATTAGCATACCGTATGCTAATGAGCTCCTGCAGCTCTTTTTCTACAAAATGACCCCTGGTTGTAAGCCACTTGGGATACCCATTGGAAAGAAAGGTTGGATAAATTAATTAATTAAAATAAAAGTTGTTTCCCGGAGTAAACTCAGCATATGATTTGGAGAGTGGAAAGTATTTCTTATAAAAAGGATATGCATGCCTTTCCTCCAGTGTCCCCACCAACAGTGAGAGCTCTTGAAGGAGCAGCACATTTTATTTCCCCTGAAGCAAAAGTTGCATCTGGGTGTCCGATCTCCAGTTCTAGAGACATATGAGGTTTCAGCATTTGCCTGGCTATGTACATATCCCCCCCCCCCCCCAAGCCCCCTCCGAGGGTTTTGAATGTGGTAGGTACTAGAGCCATTACTGCCTAAAACAGAAGTATTTTTGTCCTGCAACAGCCTAAGAAGTTTTGGAGGATTTTTTTTTTAAGCAGTAGAAATTCTAAAGCCTTTTTTTAAGATCAGATCTTAGGGTTGTGGTGGGGCAGCATCCTGGGAGAAAAAATTAAAAAGGAAAACGAGGCCTTAGGGAGAATGAAGGTTATAGAGGCAAGAAATCGATAGAAATGGGTGGGGTAGACGGAGCTTTCCCTCTGCTTAAAATAGCAGCCCTGCTCAGATCAGAGGAGATGAGTGGATTTATGACAAATCTTGAGTGTACAAAATTACTTTTTTCCCTTGTGGTAAAGTTTAGACTAAGGCTGAGAATATCGATAAGCAAAATCCCACAGAATAGATGTCTGGGGGCTACTTGGCCTCAACCTTGTTTCTGTCCCTTTCCCCCCTCAGTGAGGAAGAGGCGGCTGGCCGATCTGAACGGGCCCATCTTTCCCAAGTGCCGGACCACTGTGTAGCTCTTGGCTAGAGGGGGAGTCGGCGAGCTCAAGCTGGACCGAGAACTGTGGCGACGCAACTGTGGAGTGAATTTGTGGTGCCTGAAGTTTGTTTGTTTGTGTTCCCTCCCTGTGCACTAAAAAGGGCTCGACGAATTAGCGACTGTAGGTGAAAAAAAATCCTTATAATCAATGCATGGGAAATGCCTTTTTTGTTGTTGTTTCTGGAAAAAGCAATTCCAACTTTCAGGCTGTTCATATGGGATGACCCGAGGAAGTTCATCATCGCACAAAGAAGTCTGGAGAGTTCAGCAGTTTCGACTGCGGCCTCCTTCGGGGACAGATCTCGGGTGTGGCGTGACGCCCGTGAGTCGTTAACCACAAAACAAAGCAAAAAAACAGATAACGGCTCTGCGAAGGTAGCAAAACTGTTTAAAAATACTTTATTTTTTTCCGACTTGCTCTCAAGAATTACAAAGCAGCTACCATTTTGACAGCATGTCTGTCCTTCCGAAGGACACCCTCAATTGGTACGTGTGAGCGACAATCAGTTAGCAGCATCCCCGGCTCTAAGTTTTAACTCCGCTGTTAAAAGCATCTCCCTTTTGTAAAAGTGTATCTACACCCCCACCCCCATAGAAATAATATAAGGCCACTCGTTTCTGAAGCACAACAGGAAGCCAGCTGCCGAGTGGGCCGAGTGGGCCGTTGGCCGCGACTCTTTTTTTTTTTTCTCCTGAAGAATTTCAAAGACCTTAAAGGAGTCCATTTAGACACGGCATTCTTTGAAACCTTCTGGTGGTACCCACGAGATGGTTTGGACCTCATTGTTTATTAGTTCTACTGGCTTCTGCTTCAGAGAACGGTCCTCACTGTTGTCACGGGTTTCTGAACGGGCAAGCTGCTGACCACAAGCCCTTTGGTCAAAATGGCTCTTTTGTGAAGTTATGCAGGGCCTGATGCCTGGAAACTCCATGAGACCAGGGGCTCCGGTGTCTGGGAATGCCGGCAGCCCTGTACCTACGCTACCCTGAAATGAACTGGGTGTAGCACTGAGGCAAGGGGCCCAGGAAAGCACGCCCCCTGCTGGACTCCCCTACAGATTGCACAAGGAGCTTTTGCTTGCGCAATCTGCTGCGGAATTCGGGAGGAGGTGGGGTAGATTTGCGCCGCCTGCGGCCTTCCTGGCTGCCTGTGTGCATTTGAAGGATTGTGCCACCCTGAGGATCTTGCCAGCCAATGATGCCTCCTGCCTGGAAGTAACACTTGCCGCAGACGTACGGCTCCTCCTTCGGCAAGAATATTAAGATCTGCCTGCCCATTTCAGGTGGCGGGTGGGAGAGTGCCAAGAAAGCAACAAGGAGGATGGACGGGACGGGATCTTGGCATTCCCACTCAAGTGCTGTCAGCTGAATGGGAACAGCCCACCCAGGTCTTTTTGCTGGGCTAGGAGCCCCATGTGACTCACGAAAACGAAGGGGGAAGTGCCTGCTTGGTTTGCACGGAAATGTTGAGTTGCTTGTAAATTATGCCTTAATAAAGCGTTGCTTGTAAGTACATTGGCCAAGAGTGCGGACTGAGCTTTCTCGCTGGAAGTACGCGTGGCCCTAGTTAGGCGGCACAAACTCTTATGCTGAATCCTGTAACTGTCCCCCCACCTGCCAAAGCTGCCTGGCCGGTGGAATATCTGCCAGTGTCCTCCTCTCAAGCTCCCCAACTGGTTGCAAGGCCAGAGATCCACCTGCACTGGCAAGGACATGCGAATTGCAGTTATCTACAGAGGGGTCGGATGCCCAAATGAGGTTTTTCATGGGCAGTTCTCTGAAGTACCACCTAACTGTGCCTCCCCTCGGTTTAAGCCACTGGCCATCAAAGAACAGAACTGCCCTCTTGGGCATATTACCCCACGCGCCAAGGGAAGCTGGATTCCACGCTGTGTAGGCATTTCCCCTGGAATCAGCAGATTTGTAGTATTTCTCTTGTATCGCACAACTAATTCTGTAGTTGATAACGTGCGTCATCAATCCTCCTGTTAGTCACAAAGAGCGACATGCATGGGGTTATAGAGAGTTCTGGATCCCACCCCCCCACCCACCAGCACAATCCTATGCGTGTTTACTTAGATGTAAGATCCATTGCGTCCAATATGGCTTACTCCCAGGTGTTTTGGATTGTAGCTTCTTTGATGTCACCGCTTTAGCCAGAACAGGGCTGACAAGTTAGAAAATGGCCTTCTAAAAATGAAAAGTGAACTTCGCAGGAAACTGAACTGGATCTCCTATCCTGAAAGGCGGGCCACATCTCTGACGCAATCCCTCCCTCAAGCCTAGTAAGTGATTTCTGTTGGCCCTCGATGGTGATCTGTTTGAATTTTCAGACACGCACCAGTGGGAATGTGTATCATTGGCCGCAAATGGTGGGCACCTCCACCTCAGTCTGTAAGACTGCTCTTCCCAATTCACCCACTTCCCAGTAAGGTTTCACTTCCCAGTCCTGCCATTAAAAAAAAAAAAAAACCCACTTCGGAGAGAGGCCATCACTCAAGGGCATGCATAATCTGCTCGACCCCCTCCTCTCCCTGCCCTCCCATTAAAGGCTCACAAAGACCCTAAAAGACCACTGCCCATTGGAGAAGACAGAACTAGATCAGGGAGGAATGCAAGCTCCGGCACAACACGAGGAAACAGAGCCTTCCCCCTCTGCCTTGGATCATTCTCCAAGCACCCCTCTCAAAGTTTTCAGAAATCATTTTTCAAGCTCTGTGCCAGAGATTTAAAATATTGCTGAGCTCATTCATCCAATCCTCTTGCAAACAGGCTCGGGTGGATGAATACTGGGGCATCTACTGTGCAAATTCTTGCAAGGTAAGTCACTGTTACTTATTGCTCCCATTTCACAGTTGAGAGAACTGAGGTTGCAAAGAGAAGACCTGCCTAGCACCAAGCGTTGGGTCCAGGGGAGGCGGAATGTGCCAAGGTCAAGTCCAGCACTCTAGCCACTTGCCTTTAGCCGGCGGATCCTGAATGGCTATTTGGTTTCTCCAGTCATCAAACCTTCCCATGTTGCTAGAATTGAATTCTACTGAATGCCTGCTTTTGAAAATGACACAATGATATCAAATGCCCCAGGGCTGTACACCAGCTTAACGTAATACGACACTAATGTCATTCCACCTCACCCCGTCTTGCAAATCCAGTTGCAGAAGCCTACCTTATTGATCAGTTTATAGCCCGAAAGAAAGCACAACAACAGAAAGCCTTTTGTCAAAATTCCTCCCTGGTCACCCGGACAAGAGTCTCAGTCACCTGAGGCGACCACCTGAGTGGCTGTTTACAAACCTAAGGACATGTGGTGCCGTGTTCGTGCAGGGGGTTGTGCTGGGTGCACTGATTCCATGCAGCTGATCCTCGCAAGGGACAGAGCGTTTGTGCCAGTTCCTGTACTTATCTGACATGATGCTCTGGCTCTTGGAAGACCTATTAACCCAAGCACTCAGGAAACTTGGGGGCCCAGGGAGGGGCAGAGGCAGACTTGAGGACTGTGCGAGTGGTACGCTCTTGCCAGGGAAACGGCAGGGCTCTTTCCGAGGATGGTAAGGGAACCATGCAGTTTTCTTGCCTGTGCAGAACGTACCTTCTGTCTTGGGAAGAGCAAGAAACCCATAAGGACATAGCAGCAAGTGTGCATGCATGCACCTGGCTGAAGAAGGCATGAGATGCGTTCACCAGGAAACCGAGACCCGTCATGGCTTCTCAACTCGGCATACAGGCAACAACCCACCCGCCGGGTTTGAACTTCCAGGAAGTCCTTTGAGTCGCAATGTCGTTGGCTTGTTTACCCAATGACCTTGCTCATGCTTCACTAAGCAGAGCTGCAGCAAGCGCGGGCAACACTCTGTGTCAGATCGCAAGCAAGGATGGTTGTCTTGCACGAGGAAATAGTTGCGTAGCACCAGGGGTGGCTGTATTTTTTTTTTTTTTGCTTTGTGCGCACCATTAATTTACTCCTAGGAGTAAGTCAGCATTGCACTGAAATCCTGACTGCTATCTAGATCAGAGGTCTGCAAAGCTGCCTAACGGAGCTGGCCGCCTCCTCCCCCCCCCAACTGCACAGAGGGGATTTTTGTTTTTGCTCCAGAACTCTTCGTTAAACGCGTTCTACAGGCACCCGCTGCCGTGTCGCTGTGCACTCGCATTGCTCTTTGAAGGCTTGTCTGGAAGGGTGGGAGGCTGGGAGGGGCCCCTTCTTCTGGCAAACAGGGCAGCAGGCGGTCAGCCCTTTCCGCTGGCACTGCGGGCACGTCAGGACGAGCTGGCGACAGGGCTGGGTGGAGCAGAGTCGGTACTGGTCCCAGAGACTCCCACAATAGCGGCAGGCTAGAGGAAGAAAGGGTAAAATCCTAGGTGGGCAAAGGGGGTTTGTAAGTTTCAGTCAGCCTAGGTGGGGTCAGCCGTTATTGGTGGTTGCCGGCGGCCTCCCCTAAGTCTTCTAGCACAGGTGCCCCCAACCTTTTTCGGCCTGCGGGCACTTGTGGAATTTTGGGAAGGGTCGATGAGCGCCACCCCAAATAGCTTCTGTGGGAGGAGGAGCCAAGCCCCAAAATGGCTGCCACAGAAAGCAGAGCCAAGCCCCAAAATGGCTGCCACAGAAAGCGGAGCCAAGCCCCAAAATGGCTGCCACAGGGGGCGGAGCCAGACATAGCACCTCCCTCCTTACTCTGCAAAACAGTCACAGAAGGGGAATAAAAAGAAACAAAGGCAAGCCCAGATGGGAGAAAGGGAGAAAGAGAAAGGGGAGTACAAAGTAAAGCTTGAAGGAGGAATGAGAAATCACCAGTGAATACATTTCTACTGAATCAGTCCCTTGGTCCATTAAAGTCAGTGTTGTCTACTCAAGACTGGCAGTGGATCTCCAGGGTCTCTGCCAGAGGTCTTTCACATCATTACTGCCAGATGCTCAGGACTGAACCTGGGACCTGCCACTGAGCCACAGCCCCTCCCTGGAATCACAAGCCCCGGAGCTTCCCAGGGCTCCTGACCCACCAGTGGCTGCGGCTACTAGTGCAACTGTGGGAAAACCCTTCCATTTGAATGACGGCCTCCAGTCACAAGCCCTCCCTTGCAATGACCCCCACCCAGTTTCTGAAAAGCTCAGGGGGCACCAGTATGGGAAAGCACCGTGGCACCCACGGGCATGATTCTGGGGAGGGGAACCCTGCTCTAGTCTGTTCAGAAGCCTCAGAAAAGGGGGGTCCCATGCCTGGCCTTGGGGATACTCAGAAGCGGTCCTGTAGTCACAGTGGGGCGTCTGGGGGTGAAGACCCAACCCTGGATGAGCCCTGACCCACCCTGGGAGGATGCCAGACCCCTCCCCCACCCCTGGTGCGCCTCTCCCCCACAGCAGCGGGGAGGGCTGCGAAAGGAAAAGGAAGCCACTCTGGGGCTTCTGGTCATTTTCACTTCCCCATATCAGCTGTTAGGTTTAACAGCTGAGAGGGGAGTGAAACTGACCAGAAGTGGCAGGGCGGCTTCCCTTTCCTTCTCCGGCCTCCCCAACACCAGGGGTGCTGCGGAAGGAAAGGGAAGGTGCTCTGCCGCTTCTGGTCAATTTAACTCCCCCACAAACACCTGTCTGCCCCACCAGCCAAAAATTTCTGGCTACGATATCCCCCAAAGCCCAGCATGAGAATTTCTGAAACCTGGCACGTGGTAACAGGACACCACCTCTCCAAGTTCCCTACGTGTACCCAAGAACTTGGGAGGGGAGCATCATTTGTCCTGTCCGGGATGAAGTAGGACTCTTCTCTCGTCGCCGAATTGTCTCCGATGAGCAGAGAAGACAGGGACTGTGGCCTGGGGAAAGGGGAGTGGGTGGCGGTCTGATTTGCGGCCTCCGCTGGCCCCACGGCAGCCACAGTTGTAGACGCACACACCCCTCCCCCTGTCTGGGGAACACCCCCCCCCCCCCCGCAAAAAATAAAATCAGCACTGCAGGTTATTCTTGACTTTAAAATAACAACTTCTGTGCCGGCTTGATTACATCCTGCGCACAGAAAGCTGGATTCTGCACACGTCGTTGCTTATTCTACTGCAAACATTTGGTGCCTGAGTCTTCACCGGGCGTCACCCACAGGCCTTTCAGGCACTTCTTTTGACCAGGATCTTAATGTGGAATCACGGAGGGGGGGGGGAGTCTTGTACAAATGACTGTCACTCAAGCCCAGTTCTTTGCCACCAACATGGGATCTTGTGTCCTCCCTTGGGGGATGCTATGAGGATACATGAGGGCTCACTGGGGACTTACTCCCACTGGATGATATCCTTACACTGGATGATATCCTTACAGACAAACCGAGACTTCCCTCACATCTTCCAGAACACACTTCAGAAGGCTTTGCACATGACACTTCTAAGGCTGCCCACGTACACCCGAAAACCATAATGGCTCTCGATCCAGTTTTATGCATAAGTAGCAGTAAGCTTCCACCACTGGGACCGTCTGAAGGAACACTAGGAAGCGATGGTAGCTGCAGACCGCGCTTTTAAGACCACGAGCTCAGAGCTAGCCGACAACGTTCCAAATACTGCACTGGAAGGGGAGGAATCACCCACCTGAAATCACATCACCGTCGGAGGAGATGGTGTACCGCTCGTCAAAGACAAAAAGCTTCCCTTCATAGAACCCGTCTGGAAATTCTTCCAGGTACTTATGGATGCCGCCCTTGAGGTGGTACACGCCTTTGCATATGCCCTGCGTCAAAAGAGTACCAAACAAGCTGTAGGTTTAGGAAAGCTTGACGTGCAGGTTGTGTTCCCTCTCGGTATTCATCATCTCCAGAAATAGATTATACAAATGAGTTGCTGGTCTGGGACATTACTAAGAATGTGCCCTTGGAACATCAAGAGCTTGGATTTTTGCCTCAGGAGGAACTGCTGTGCATCCCCTCAAGAATACAGACTACCCAGGAGTTCCCCTGTGTGCCAATTACATTCAGGTGCATCGGCCACGTCAACTGCAATCCTCTAGCTGCCACCTTCTGGCCGTCCCCCCATTAAGCTAAAGGAATCTCAGTCAATGTATCAAGCAACAATGTGAACAAGGAACTGTGATGCACTGGCTTGCCTGCAATAAACGTTACAAGACAATTAAACAAAGACTGTTTGTAAGGCTAATTGTGTTGCTTATTATAAATGAAAAACTACAAAATGCTTATTCTGTTGTACATGGCGCCATTCTTAGTAAAGAGAAAGTTTGTGGATCAATTCCAGAGTAATGTTGCGTTTCTAATTTCTCAAGCATAACCCTAGCCCTTATACTTGAGAAATTAGAAACGCAACATTACTCTGGAATTGATGCACAAGCTTTCTCTTCATGTACAATATAAGCACTTAGAAGTTTTTCATTTGTAATAATATAAGCAACGCAATTAGCTTTACGAACAGTCTTTGTTTAATTGTTTTTTTGTTACATTTACTGCAGGCAAGCCAGTGCATCACAGTTTCTCATTCACTTGCAATGTTCCCTTCTAAGCTGTAGAGCCCTGTGAGCAAAAATTCTACTTTGTGAGCTGCTCTGGAGCCATCCCTTCCTGAGCTAAGACAAAAATGTGAGAGCCAGAGGCTGAAAAACTGTGAGCTAGCTCACACTAACTCAGCTTAGAGGGAACACTGTATTGTAAGGTGGCATCTATCAAAACCTGCTCCTTTCCCGCTTTGTAGAAAAGCCTCCCCAAGGAAGTGAAGAAAGAGCCATCCTTTGAGGGTTTTTAGTAGGGGCTGTAGGGCTACCTTATTTACTTAGGCTTTTCATAGTGTTTGGGCTATAGACATGTTCTTGGAGGAGGGAGGGATAATGGGTCTTATTGTATTATGGATGGTTTCAGTTTAGAATTGTAAGCCTCTTAAGACGCAAGGGAAAGGGAAAATACAAATATTTTCATTTAAAAAGAGAGATAAATTAGTTAATGGAAAAAGCCGAAAATTGAAGAGTCCAGAACTCTAAACTAAAAGGCTTCCAGAACTACATCTGGGAAGCCTTGATTGGTAGCCATGACTTAGGCTTTCTCAACGGATCAAGTGGCTGTTCATAACTTTTGACATGCATGTATTTGGCCTTGAAAAGAGGTCGACTGCTCCAATCCACATTCCACCGCCTGCCGATCCTTCCGGCTGCACCTTGTTTCTCCGAGACTCCTCACCTTGGATTTCAGGTAGGCCGAGCCTCGCTCGCAACGGATCCCCCCCGTGCAGTACATCAGGACACGTTTCCCTCTGAAGAGTTCCAAGTTCTCGTCAACGTAGCTGGGGAAGTAGCTGAATTTCCGGATGTCTGGGGCCAAACAGCCTTGGAAACGCCCCTAGAGCCCAAGAGGAAGAAAACACATCTTTAACTCCAAAGTTTTCCAAGTTGTGTGTGTGGGGGAATTATTTGGGGGCAGAGAAAGACTGGATACATAGGTTTTCAAAGAATGCACTGTTTTGCAGTCGTTCACTTGGATTTTTCACAGGAAAATCCAAGAGGGCCAATGGTCACAAGAGTACAATCTTCAAAGAGGTGCGGGTCCTACGAAAATCTCATGTGGATAAGGTTGCAAGCAGCTACCGATAGGCAGGGCTTTCTTTTTTGAAAAAACTCTCAAGCGAGATGTGAAGTTTTCAATCTGTATACTGAAAACTCACAAACTTTTAAACATTTTAAGAAGAATCCTGTCGAAGAGGTTCCAGGACTCCATTCTGGTGCGTTCCCCCAGAAAAAAAGCCCCACTGACAGGATCCTGGCATGCTTAGGAGAAAGGCCGGCAAATAATAACTATTTTGCATAAATAAAAAACCACAGATGGTAAGAAAGGAGGACCACATACAGGAGTCAGAACTGCGTGGGTGATGGAAATGTGCAAGCCGCAGTTTCTGCAATCAGTGGCAGTCCTTTGAAAAAGAGAAACACAGAGGCCTTGCAGGCACCTCTGGCGAGCCGGTTCACAAACGCAACTCTTTGTACACAACCCTGAGGGCCAAAGCAGACACGCACTGGGAGGTGCATGTCTGGACCTCCCACAATAAAAAAAACCACCTTAATTCTCAAGTGTACAGGGTCCCTGAAGTCCCAGCATGCAACTGGTTCAGCCCTGAATCTGGTGGCGATCCGATGTGCTCCTAAGAAGATGGCCTCTTATGTGAACTGGTTGCACAGGTCTGCATGAGGAGGTGGCGTTTGGCTTGTTGTAAACCCCCCAAAAATGCAAAAAAAGCCAAAAGGGGGAAAAAAATCACCTACTATTTTACTTTCATAGAAGTTCCTGCAGTCCAGCAAAACGGTGTCCTTCTGTGCTTTTTTACCCTGAGAAAGATATGTCTCCACTTCTATATGAAACTCCTTTGGAGTCAAATGGATTCCTACAACCAATTAAAATATATATATTTGAAGCATTTATACATCCCCCTCCTTCTCCTGGCTTAGTCGAGAGTCCCGTTTATTTATTTCGATATTTATACCCCACTTTTCTCCGCAATGGGGACTCCAAGTGGTTTACAACACTCTCTTCCTCCATTTTAGCCTCACAGCAGCACTTTGTGGTAGGTCAGACTAAGTGTGTGTGACTGGCCCAAAGTCATCCGTGGACTTCCACGGCAGAGTGGCAGTTTAATCCTCAGTCTCCCAGAACCCGATCCACTATACCGTGCCACTCAGACACCCCTAAATACAACTCCAAAAGAAATCGCCTATTAAAATCCTTCAAACACATCAGTAAAACAAGCAATGTTTTGTCTCCGGGATTGAGCGGTATAGAAATTGCAAGTATAAATAAATAAATAAATAAATGAAAATAGAGAGCTAAAATAAAAATAAGCCAGGGAATGTTCAAGCGGTCCCAAGAAGTTGTTTGGAATCATTTTGTTTCAGTGACAGCCATGAAGGCCTCGTCCTTTCCAGAAGGTTCTTCCATAGTAGAGAACAAACAAATAAAAATAAAGGACACCATGGGGCAGCTACCAAAAAGGCCTGGACCATAACAGATCGTATCCTTAAGGTCCGGGGATCTGCTAGAGAGGCCCTTCTGGGAGGAGAGTAAGTGTCACATAGCTCTGTATCAGGAGAGATGCTCCTTCAAGTAACTGCACAGAGACAAACTCAAGTTCTGATCCGATCCAATCGGCACTGCCACACTGACTCGCTGGTCTCTGCCAAAGCAGCCGCACCAAAAGGGAAACGGCTTCCAAAGCTACGTTTTTAAGCATACATGGAAAACGGTTCTTATCTGCATCTAAAAGTACAATTCACATGTGCGCGCAATGAGCGCACCGTTTGCAAATGAGTGTTCATGTGCCAGGGAGCTGGGATTGGCTGCACCTTCCCATGGGGGCCAATCTTGTACATACTGCAGCCAATGCCACTTAATGTCAAGGGTGTTCCAAGAACAGAATAAGCAGAGGAACTGGAGGCCCAGAGGCCTCCCATCTGGTCCTCAGTGAAAGACGCAGTCCTAAAGTCATAGACAGAAGCAATCAATCTTTGATCCCTCCCCCCCCCCTTCCTGGCAAACAAGGCTGGGGCACCACATGGCTACCAAATTAGCCCCGTCAGTTTTGGTCGATGTGATCACACTCCTCCTTTGAGCGCTAGAAGCAGAGGCCCGACAACGTCCCTTGCAGATGCAGAGTAAAAGTCGGGGGCTACACCACTGCCATTTCCCCTGCCTTTAGGAGACTATTTCTGCCAGCCTCCTGACACGGAATTAGGGCTGGATTGAACCTGAGTCCTCTGCTAAACCTCTGGTACACCTCTGATACTTTAATTTCTATAGCAAATAGCCTCTACAGTTGAATCTGTGGTTCTGTTTCCCAGGAGGCGTCAGGACTCTGCTAAGTGCTGTGGCCTTCCGGATAACCCTGCACATGACTTTTGCCTTACATGACTTTTGCCTTTTGGAATGTTCATACATTATCAAATTCTAAACAGATAAGAGTATCGGAAGCTAGCTTCTTGGGACTCTCTTAGCTAGGGACTCTTGGGACTCTCCTTCCCAAAATGAGCCAATTTGGTGTCGTGGTTAAGTGCGCGGACTCTAATCGGGGAGAACCAGGTTTGATTCCCCACTCCTCCACTGGCACCTGGCTGGATGACCTTGGGCAAACCGTAGCTCTGATAAGAGCTGTTCTTGAAAAAAGAGCAGTTTCTGTCAAGAGCTCTCTCAGCCCCACCTACCTCACAGGGTGTCTGTTGTGGGGAGGGGAAGGGAAAGGATTTTGTAAGCTGCTCTGAGACTCCCTTGGGTAGTGAAGGGCAGGGTATAAATCCAATCTCTTCTTCTTCTTAGTCAGCCTTGACTCTCTGAGTCAACCAACTTAACCCTGACTTTTCTTGACTTTCCTGACCCCAGAGATAGAAAGAAAGGGGGCTGACTTTGTTGTATACATCAGATGTATGTCAAACGCTCGTCACAGACTTGACTGACAGTTACATTAGCCCTATGGTTGGAAAAGGGTACTTCATGTCTGAATTTATTCTTGTTCCTGGTTGTTCTGGCCAACCACCCTTTTGTTATGGGTCTAGGCAGAGCAACCAAGGATATCCTTTATAGAATTACAAGTGCACTATTTACGTATTGGGGTTGTGCTGAAATATTCTGTGCCGAATATTGAAATGCTACAAAAATCTGACTTAAAGAGTGTGTGATGGAATAAATTGAGTTTTGGTTTAGAACAACTCTCTCTCTCTCCCTCCCTCTCTCGATGCAATTGGAAAGCCAGCTTCTCTCCTTCCCAAAATGAACACAGTGGGAATGAGAGTGCATGAAAAGGTTCATGCACCCCTCGCTTCCCCAACACCTCCCTTTTGCAGCTCTCAAACACGCAGCAGCACAACAGAGCGGCGGACTATCTCAACATTGTTCCACTTTAGAAAGAAGAATTACTCCTACATAGCTGTCTGTTGGGCTCTAGCTTGAGGTGGCATCTACGTGAGCATTGTCAAGTTGCAGCTGACTCCCGGTGACCCGAGCGAGGGGCTTCGAGGCAAGTGATTCGGCAGAGGTGGCTGGCCCTCGCCTTCCTCTGCAGAGCCTTCCTAGGCGGTCTCCCATCCAAGTACCAGCCCTGCTTAGCTTCTGAGATCTGATGTGATCTGGGGCTATACCGCGCCGCCTTCCCTCCCTGCATCTACATAAGGACATGAAAACAGACTCTAGCCTGGGCAGCAGACACAAGCAGAGCAGGAACCAGTGAAAACAGCACCCATACACCACATCCACACACCACTGTCCTTGCTGCTGTCTCTGCTGAAGGGGGGGGGGGGGGGGACTCCCTTAGGTTCACAAGCGCCTGCACAAAATCAAAGATGTGATGACGATTTTGACAGTTCCCCCCTCCCCAGTCCTGGAATCTCCCCTTTCTCGTCCCTTTCCTGCCCAAACCATACTGTGACGCTACAGCGCAGCTTGTCAGAGAAAAGGAAAAAGCCCCCCAGAAGGGGTTCAGCTTGGCCGCTTTGGAGGCCCCCGCCCCAGTGGCTGTAGGTTGGACTACCCGCATATACATGCCACCCACGGTCACCCCACCGTTTCCCCTTTGACTAGAGGAAACTAGGTTTTTATTTCCTCTCAGACAAAATGAAGAAAAACCGGGAGCCAGATGCGTCATGTCCACACTGGGCACCGTGGCATCTGGATACCCCCATTTATTGTGGGAGCTCCCTGCAGCCCAGATAGGGATAATCCCCCTTGCAGAAGCAGCTTTAGCCTAGCTCTGGGGCACGGCTGCTGTGTTCTTCGGCAGCATTTTCTGCATCTCCTCCTCGTTCCTCCTCAAGTCGACAAGGGCTGTGTGGCATCCTCTTATTTTGGAGGACTGGTTTTCACTTGATATGTGTTCTTTGCTTTTGTAAAATGGGTATTTTCTGCTGCCCCTAGGAATTTAAGGACTTCCAAACCTTCTCTCCTTTGCTGTTGGTAATGTGACCCAGAGTCTGGGTCCTGAGGAAAGACAGAGCTGAATTCTGGGATAAACTTGAACAAAAGATGTTTTATTGAAATAAGAACAAAATATGAGGTTGGTTATTCTGTAACTGTTTGGGAATAAGGGACTTGTAAATATGTCTGTCAGACATATCACACACACTGTCCTTTTGACATTAAGATCCCACTCTGACAGGAATCTCCCACATAGGCAGCCACACAGGCTAAGCTCTTGGTAATTTTAACTTCCTTCCAGATTTTTAGAGTCTCACTTTTTAAGACATAATACTGCACTCTTTTAGATCCCACACAGAACTATCAGAATTCTCACTGACTAAACTCTCTAACGGAACAATTCCAACAACTTTTTCTAACTGACTTTCATAACTGACTGACACCCACACAGATCCACACAGAACTCCTCCTCCCACACCCTGTCATCCTCCAATCACAGCACACGTCTCCCTCAATCATTCTACTCTGCTGTCACTGCACTCCAACCAAACATTTAAAGAGACACACACACAGTAAAACAAGTAATCATTACAGGCTGTTCTCCATACCAGTTTCTTTGTAGGAGACTCTTTTGGGGCTAATCCCCAGGGGTACGATTTCTTCAAAGACGCCGATCCGAAGGTCCGGGAAACAATGCGCTCCGCCTGTGCTGGTCTGAGACACAGGGAGAATCCACAGACGAGAGAATGTTATGAAATGATCCACGGTTGGTCTTTCGGACAATCAGAGTCGAAGGCTACCAGAAAGAGAGAGAGCTGCTTGCCTCTGCCAAAGAAGACTGATAGCAACTCTCCCGCAAACAGATGTGCTGTCTCTTCCAACACCTGTTTGACCAGAAGTAATGCTTGGAAAACAGAAGTCTATATTAACCAGAGGAAGCATGTTGGAGGCTATTTCAAATCACCTTTTTAAAATTAAACATTTTATTTAATGCCTTCTCAAAGCACAATACCGCCAATACTAAGAAAAGGCTCATAGAAATACATAATTTGTTGGCAGCATGTGGAAAAACAAAAAAAGAGGGACTTGGACACATCAACAAAGGCTCTTGCGGCACAGTCGTCGTAACTAATTAAAATTGCTCATGATACCCAGGCTAATGAAACAAAGAGGCAGCTGGATTAAAAGACTTAATTAAACACAGTGACAACCAAACGTGGAGCTGCAAGAAGTGCAGGATGCGGTAAACTATCTTTGTGCTTTAAAATGTGCCTTCCAAGGAATAGCTAAACAAAAATGAATTACCGTGGGTTAAGAAGAGTTGACAAGGCAGCAAGAGGAGGATAAAATTATGTTGGCATCTAAAAGTGTTTACTAGTGATGGGGAAGATCTAGACTCCAAATCCACACACACCCCAGGTTTGGGGGATCTATTTCTGACCTCTTTTCTCTGTCAATTTGAAAGCCACAGACTTTGAAATGGGACCAAAAAGGTTTAAAAAAATTTTTAGGCCCATGCCTATTCCTAGTGCTATATTATCATGTCATCTATAGTTCCCCTAATGCCTAGATGCTTTGGATGCACCAAGCAGGGAAGAGCATGAATCCCAGATCACTTCTGACTCTCTTTGAAATTAGGGCCACGATTGCCCCATTCTGATTTAGGGGCCAAAATTAATGCTTTTAGGAGAATAACGTTTCTCATAGACTCCATTATTGTAGAAATATTTGCTTAGATCCACAAGTTTTCTGTGGGCAGAGGGATTTGTGTTCATGGGCTGTAATTTTCCCACCTCTACCTTGCCACACCAGCCAGAAATACCCTCTGAAACCCTGGAGTCAGGGAGAATTTCAGGCTGCTGGTGGGGGGGGGGCAAGAAAGTTGCACCCCACAAGCACAAATCCCTCTCACAGAAAATCTCCAGTGGATCTAAGCCATTATCATATAAGCCTTTTTATATGTGCCGATGTCCTAGGCATCATCCCAGGTAGAGACAATGTCCAAGGCACTGGCCAATACGTCCCTGTGGCAGTCTCACAACTGTTTGACAAGCAAGATTTCATTATTCAAGAGGAACTGAAAGCAATCCTCAGCTGGGAATGAGAACAGCTGTTTATATATAATGCAGAGATCAGCACCTCTCACCTTGAAATCGTCTCTCATCAAAATGCCTTCAAAGAGCGGATGAGAAAGCATTGTGTCCACATAAAGGAGGGTCCCAGTTGTGCTCCCACCAACAGTTCCATTAATGCCCTCAGAAGCGATTCGTACCTAGAAGCCAAGAGAAAAGTTCTGGATGAGATGAGCAGCAGGGTCCTATGGGTGTCTCATTGAAAGTGAGCCCCACTGCCATGCATCTTACCACTCCACTTAGCAAGCCCTGACCTGGATACCCCAATCTTGTCACATCTCGGAAGCTAAGCAGGGTTGGCCTTGGCTAGTATTTGGAAGGACGACCTCCAAGGAATACCAGGGTTGTGATGCAGAGGCAGGCAATGGCAAACCACCTCTGAAATGTCTCTGGCCTTAAAAACAAGTTTAGCCCACCACCTAGTGATGGATAAGGCTAAAGAGCTAGAACTTCTAAATGCCAGACAATCTTAGGATCTCCTGGGTATTCTACACACACTGCCATGAGATAATTAATGAATTTCTACAACAAACAGCAATAAGGAACAAAGAAGGGCAGCAGAATAAGAAAGATCTAGGACAGCTAATCTTTTACTCAGCAAAACGGGCAGTCTGAAAAAGTACGAAAAAAAAGTCCACGCACATGGTATGCACAGTGTCTGCCAGCAACAACCTTCTCTGCTCGGCTAGCCAAAAGGGGTGGACCATTACAAATTCTGGAGGGAGACGGTGTCCGGGGATCCTGCAACCTATCACGTTGCCCCTCCTCCAGTCACGCTTAGGGGAATATCACTGCTTCAGGAAGCCTTCAGTGCCTTTAAGCCAATGCCGATCCTCATCCCAGACCTATGTGCACATCTAGCGTCCAAGGGACAAAGCCTGCTGTACTTACAGAGGTTCAAGAATGAATGTGAACCCACAAAGGAGTGCAATAACCTACACTTTCTCCCTCTGCTACACTGCATCCCATCTTTACAGCCACATTTATTTATTTATTTTTAAAAGCAGAGATTTCAACTAGTCATTCATTAGGCCATGTGCGGCTGCATTTCCCCTTCTATAATGGCCCTAGATAATATATTTATTACACCCATCCTCCAAACAAATCTCAGGAAAATCAGAGGAACAGTACACCTCCTTACTTCTGATAGCTGAGCCATACGTTATGATGTTATCTCTGTGTTCTCTTTGAGTCCACACAGTCTTTGAGTGTGACCAGGTACACCTTGCAGATTCTGTGCTGGGAACTCAATTCCCAGCTCAATTCACTCAACTCAGTTCACTTACACTCAGAGGCAGTTGGGTGTAGTGGTTAGGAGCACGAACTCTAATCTGGGAGAACCGGGTTTGATTCCCCATTCCTCCACATGCAGCTGCTTGTGTGACCTTGGGTCAGTCACAAGTTCTTTCAGAGCTGTTCTCTCAAGGGCAGTCCTCGAGAGAGCTCTCTCAGCCCCACCTACCTCACAGGCAATGTTCCCTCTAAGCCGCGGAGTCTTGTGAGCAAAAATTCTGCTTTGTGAGCTACTGGCATTGAAGTTGTGAGCAAACGATTTGGCTACTGCAGAAATTAGTTTGCTCTGGAGTCGTCCTTCCTGAGCTAAAACAAAAATCTGTGAGCCGGAGGCTAAAAAACTGTGACCTGGCTCACACTAACTCAGCTTAGAGGGAACACTGCACAGGGTGTCTCTTGTGGGGAGGGGAAGGGAAAGGAGATTGTAAGCTGCTCTGAGACTCCTTCGGGTAGTGAAGGGTGGGGTATAAATCCAATCTCCTCCTCCTCCTTACAGACATTGAATCTGAAACCTCAGATAGAGCTGCCAGATTCTGCACAGTAGCCAGAGTAGCTTTGATTCAGTTACATGTATTTGCTTTATATACATATTTTAATGGAAGATTGTATTTGATAATGTATGTTTTATTCTGCTGGTCTATGAATGCAATAACTTACTGACTGATGGATGGGAACTGCTGGTGAAGGTTGCACTAGAGCAGAGTCCCTAATTCGTGCTTTGTTGATGCAGGCCTAACTTACATGGCTCCATGATGGTCAACATCCTTCCCAGGTCCACCACTCTCAAGGACTCTCAAGCAGATGGGAATTGCAAGTTCCTTGCTGGGAACTCAATCCTCAGGCAGGCAGGGATCCAATCTGTGAAAGGACCATGACTCACAAGGAAAGGGGGCTGATGCCTTCCCCATAGCAGTTTCCTGACCTGAAAAGACCCCAGAGCAAATTTACTTGAAATGCCCCACTGGGAGGAATTGACAGATCCTGAGGGCTATACATAGGTTCCCCCAACAAGGCAAGTAGCAGCTCCTTAGGGCATTTTAGACTGGGAAATGGCTCAAGGAGACAGGCTTAATAGCCCCCTCTGGTACACCACAGTTCCAGTCTGAATCAGGCCTGCGTAAGTCTGGGAATTGAGTTCCCATAGGTTCCCCCAACAAGGCAAGTAGCAGCTCCTCGGGGCATTTTAGACTGGGAAATGGCTCAAGGAGACAGGCTTAATAGCCCGCTCTGGTACACCACAGTTCCAGTCTGAATCAGGCCTGCGTAAGTCTGGGAATTGAGTTCCAAGCAGAGGTCATTTCGGGGGGAATCGCGGGGGATCGCAGTTTCCCCGGGTGAGGTGCGGGGGACGGGGCACATGACGAAGCCCCGCCCCCTGCTTCTGGCCTCATTCAGCCAGGAGGCGGCAGGAGAAGAGGGAGGGTAAGTTGCTTCTTCCCTGCCTCTCCCACCCCTGCCTGCCTGGGGCCAGGGAGGGCCTTCGCGGGGCTTCCTTGCACTCCCGCCGGCCTTGCAGGTCCACCGCCGGACCCCTCATGGGGCTCGGCAA